GTTGGAAAAGACCTGAAAGATCATCGGGTCCAACATTACCCCAGCACTGCCACGTTCACCACTAAACCATGTTCCCGAGCACCACATCTACATCGTTTTTTGGCACTTCCATGGCCAGTGATTCCACCACTTCCCTGGGTGGTGATTCCACTCCTTCCCTATTCCTGAGCTCAAGCACCCTTTCGGTGATGGCATTTTTCCGGACCAGTTAACGGTCGGACTGACAATCCGAGAGGTCATTTCCAATTCTAATGATCATTTCCAGCCTTGCTGCACTTCAAAGCAACGAGAGATGGGAGCCAGAACTGCCTCTCCTCTTGTGGTCTGACCATCTCTAGCGATTTAGGTAATGATGGTTCGTAATTGCAACCAATAAACAAGTGAAAAAAATTAAGTATGATCGAGCTGTGGTGAGTCCTGGGTCAAACCTGCAGCTTCAGTGCCCAGCTCTGGGTATCCCTCAACTCACCCCCTTCCCATGGAGCTGCACTGAGGGCTCTCAACCACTCCAAGGGCTAGGCAGGGTCTTCATGATTCATCTGAGGTGGGCATTTCATCCCCTACTTCTCCTTCTCCTCGTCCACCCACCTTCTGGTGGGAACACGTCTCCTGGTTTCTTATCCCAAGGACTGGAATATTTTCTGGACCTCAGTGACCCTCCTGCAAAATCCTCTTATCATCCCACCCCATCAAAGCCAAAGTTTTGGGAGGGTCTCCCCCAAGCAAAGCAAAGCCTTGGAGACTCACCCCTGTCCGTGCACAGGGCGAGGGCGAGCGCAGCGAGGAGGAGGAGAGGAGCCTTCATCCTTTCTGGGTTCTTGCAGCTCCCAAAATAAGCAGGACTTGGCCAGGGCAGGTTTTATACTTCTGCAGTGTTTGCTTTGATCTTGAGATAATAACCACGGGGCTGCTGTGTCAGAGGAGGGATAATTGGGAGCAACGTGTTGGGGCTTGTGCATGGGAGCTGGAAGTCTAAGAGGGGGTGTGTTCTTCCCCCCCCCAACTTCTTTTCCTCCTCGTTTCACAACTCAGCTGCTTCATCCTGTGTGAACTCTGAGACAGTTTCTAATTTTGGGGAAGTGGAGGAAAAGCAAAGGACACAAAATACCAAAACAATGAGGAGAGGAAGGTTGTCCTTTCTGGGCCTCCCAGGGCTGAATCCCTTAAAGATCTCTCCCTGGCACAGGTTGGATGGAAATTTCAAATGGAATTTGGGATCAAAGGTTCTCCAAAATGTTTCCCAGGATTGGCAACAGCACTAGAGCAGCAGAGCAGAATCCTTCCACTGTGTTTCATAGGGGACCAGGCATCATTTTCTATCTCTTTTTTAAGGCAGCAGTTCAAAAAATCACAAATGTTTCTGCTAAAAAAAAAAAAATGAATATTTTATATGAGGAGAAAACGTTATCTTGTTACAAAATAAATTCCACTGGGTAATGAAAACGACCCTTTAAATTAAAAACCAGACATAACACCTACTCCCACAGCACCCAACAAGCTGTGCCTTTTTTTTTTTTTTTTCCACAAATTCCAAAAAAATAAATGTCAGGGAGAAAAAAAACAACCAATTAAAGTGTGGACAACGAGGGATTGGCTGATCAAGGATCTCAACTCGTTAAGTCTTCAGAGGAAAAAAAAAAAACAAACCAGCCAAAATTCTGTGAAATGCCAACAAGAATAATTCCTTTGGATTTCCATGTTGTGCTATGTATTCCTCTTTTTTTTTTTTTAATCATGTTTCATCCTGTCTCCCTGTATAAAATCAGAATTTTCCCCACCTTCATTGGATTGTTGTTGTTGTTGTTTTTCCCTCCCCCCGTTGTTTTCCTGCCGTCTCCTCACGGGGACGGAGGCACAATCCCAGAAAAGCTCCTTCCACGTGACACCTGGAGCTGCAGGAGCTGCCCCAAAGCCTCTGCCAGGGACTCTGCCCCTTGCTGCTCCCCATCTGCCTTATTTCCCTTTTCTTTCTTATCTCCAAATTCCTCGGATTTCCGTCTCCCAATAAATATTTCAGCCTTCTGACACGACCCACCTCCAGTCATTGTCTCACCCAAAAGCCACCCCGGATTCTTGGGGTGATGTAAGGCTTTCCATCACCTCTAAATTGGGCTTATAAACACTGTTCACGTGACTGAGGTGTGGAAATTTTTGCTTTCTCAACAGGCAGAGCATGAAACTCAGTTGGAACAGAGGTGGCAATTAAGCCAAAAGACTCCAAGGAGGGGAGTGTTTGGCTTCATCAGCCTTCCAAAGGCACCAGGAGGGAGGAAAATAGGAGCTGGCGCCTTCCTTGCCAGTGAAACCCTCTCTTGTTTGTGAAATATTTGATTTTCCCCACTCCAGGGGAGATTTGATTGGTAAATCAGCTTTTGTTGGTGATTATCTGGGGGGGGTGATGTCCCTCAGCAGAGGGAACGTTGAGTTACAGAGCAGAGCCAGCCCACATTCCCAATTATCTCAGCCAACAGCATCCCCTCGCAGGTACAGAAATAGCAGCTCCACCAGGCACTTGTTTTTGATTCCCTCCCCCTGTAATCTCATCCAAGCCAAAACCTAAAATATCTCCTGTCTCCTGCAAGCTGCTGAGATTTTGAGAAGGCAGGGCCCGAGTTCTTAAAGGCTTTACTGCAGGATTTTCCAGTAGATGATCCTGGAATCTTCCAGCTGGTCCCTTATGTCCTTCTTAATGTTGTCTTTGTCCCTCACCAGAAATGGAAAAAAAAAAAAACAACAAACCATGAGGGCAGAAAGGACACAGATGATTTTTTTCAGGACACAAGAAGGTAAAGATAATATCGGAGTTTACAAGAATTTGGGAGTTATGAACTTCATAAAGGCCTTGGAATGAGTAACAGGGGATTTAATTGGAGGTGGAGGTGGAAGGTGAGCTGGAAAGACTTATTTCCCTTGACACAGTTGCCGGGTGAAGAGGGAAAAGTGTTTTGCTCATCTTGTTCTAAACCTGGTTGAAACTGTTGTGCGAGGAGGGCAAACATTTGCTTTATTTTGGGGGGGGAAACACAGTTTTCTTGAAACAAAAGCTGGTCAAATGTAACTGTAAATGTATGTAAATGTAAGTGAGAAATTCAGATGTCGTTGCTAAATGTGGAATTTCAAGTCGGCCAAAAGCTTTGAGAAGAGTTTTAGAAATTGCTGTGATTAAAATGTGGGAAAAGCCGTTGAAAAAGTGGTTGAAAAAGTGGTTAAAAAAGTGCAAAATCTCAAGTTTCTGTTGGTCCCTCAGCACAGAAATGCTGCAACACCACAATCCTCTAGTTAGAACACTTAAATAAATGCCAGAACACCCTCCTTGACCAGAAATTAAATCTTTATGGGATGATTAAACCTAATCCCATTTTCACAGCCTTTGGACAGAACTGTGGTTTCTTCCTGTTGCACAGAAACACCCGGACTTTGCCGTGCTGGTGGAGCAGGATTCCCTCAAATCCAGCAGAGGATTCCCTCAAATCCAGCATAGGATTCCCCTCAAATCCAGCACAGGATTCCCCTCAAATCCAGCATAGGATTCCCTTCAAATCCAGTGCAGGATTCCACTCAAATCCACAGCAGGAGTCCCCTCAAATCCAGTGCAGAATTCCACTCAAATCCACAGCAGGAGTCCCCTCAAATGCAGAGCAGGATTCCCTCAAATCCAGCAGAGGATTCCCCTCAAATCCAGCACAGGATTCCCCTCAAAACCAGCAGACTTCCCCTCAAATCCAGCACAGGATTCCTTCAAATCTAGAACAGAATTCCCTCAAATCTAGCACAGGATTTCCCTCAAAACCAGCACAGGATTCCCCTTGAATCCAGCACAGGATTCGCTCAAATCCAGCACAGACTTCCTTCAAAACCAGCACAGGATTACCCTCAAATCCAGCACAGACTTCCTTCAAATCCAGCACAGGATTCCCTCAAATCCAGAGCAGGATTACCCTCAAATTCAGCACAGACTTCCTTCAAATCCAGCACAGGATTCCCCTCAAATCCAGTGCAGGATTCCCCTCAAATCCAGCACAGGCTTTCCCTCAAATCTAGAGCAGAATTCCCCTCAAATCCAGCTGGGCTGCAAACATGAGGGTTTTTTTCCAGACGCCATTATACAAACCCTCCCAAAATTCAGTGCTGAAGTTTTAACCTGCTCAACTGGGAATTCCACACTCTCCAGCTCCATCATTATGTGTATTTTCCCCATTTAATTCTAGTTTTGCTCTTCCAGGAGCAGAAGGGAATCTCAACCCCAAGAGTTGCCGGGGATGTCCAACCCAAGAGCTCCAGAGGATCCCCATCCCAACTCCTCCATCCCCAAGCCTGGAAATGCAGCAGTGACTGGAAAGGGAAGGAGAGACCTCCCCACCAGCCCAGACACCCATCACCTTTCCCAGACTCATCCTGTCCATTTTCCCACTGGGAAATCACGACCAATCCCTCAGCAGCATCTTCTCCAAGCAAGCACGGAGATCTCCTTCCTAGAGGGGGATGCATTCCAGCAGCACTGTCCTCATCTTGGACATCTCCAGCATCTGCAGGTGGGACCTTTCCCTGTTTGAAAAGCTGAGAGCACCCACCTTGCAGAGATCACGGGAGAACTTTGCAGGATCACAATTCCTGCCAGGAGAACTTTGCAGGATCGCAATTCCTGCCAGGAGAACTTTGCAGGATCGCAATTCCTGCCAAACCCCGGCCATGTGTCCTGGTGGCTACAACACAATTCCCGCCGGTGTCGGCAGTGGGAACAACACAAACATCTCTGACCTTCCCAGACCGACACCTCCGTTCCGAGCCATCAGAATATTTGGCTTTATGGAATGTCTGGATGCAACTGAGTCAGTTGGGAAAGGCAGCCAGGAGAAGACTCGGAAGTGCGGAAAGGAGGAATTCAACGGGAAGCGGAGATTTCGAGAACAACCCCTCGCCGGCAGAGCTGTTGTCTCAGGCTGGATTGAACAAAGACACTCTAGAATAACACAAATCTTTATTTTTGTCTGACCATCGTCACATGCTGTGCTATCAAAAGAGCTTTTCCAGGGAAAATTAGTATAAAACAGGGAGGGGGAAACCAGGAGCTGCGCTGCCACGTCGTGTCGGGAATGGGATCTGTCTGGGATAAGAAGAGGGCAGCACAGACCCTGTTGGAACCACTTGACAGAGGAGCTTGGTTTCTCGCTTGGGGAATACCTTGTGGGTTCTCGGGTTGTCCCATCTCGTCCCACCCCTCCTCACAATCCTGCCCTGATGACCCAGCCCAGACTGGCAGCGATTCCCAGGAGCATCACGGCGTAGGAGGTTCGGACGCTGTTGGCGCCGCTGAAGTTGCACAGGGAGGTGCTGCAGCACTTGGTGGAAAAAGCTGCCACCCCGAAGTTCACGTTGGTCTCGGGACAGTCCACGGAGCACTTCTTGGTGATCCGGTGCCCTGCGTCCTTGCCTGTGGGGAGGAGGAGAAAGGAGAGATGGGATTTGAGGTTCTTTGGGAAGAGTGGTGGGAGGAGGGGTGTTAATTGCAATTAATAAAAGCCACCAGGGGGGTTGATGAGTGCTGGGTGGACACCATGCATGGCACTAAATAGTCCTTGACAGAAATCCACGCCAAGCCAAAATCTCTGCTCTGGGTGACCAGGTTGTGAGCGGTCAAAGGTTGGACTCGATCTTGGAGACCTTTTCCAACCTAAATGACTGTGGGATTCTGTGCTTCCTGTAGGACAGCAGGAAATCACTGCCAGTGCATTTCCCTCTAAATGGCCTCTAAAATGCCACTAAAATGCCTCTAAACCCATGTTATTTACATCCAATCCCTTTCCATCCTTCATCCCAGAGCACGTGGAAGAGTTCTCAGGTCAAGCAACAGCATCTGCTCCTGGAATCTCTGTGTTCCAGCCACAAGAGTGGTGAGGAACCGGCACAGGTTGCCCAGAAAAATTGTGGATTCCCCATCCTTGGAAGTGTTCAAGGCCAGGTTGGGTGGAGCTTGGAGCAACCTGGGATACTGGAAGGTGTCCCTGCCCATGGGAACCAGTTGATCTTGAAGGTCCCTTCCAACCCAAACCATTTTACAATCACAAAGCACCACTGAGGGATTCACAAATTACGTGTTGTGATCCCTAAACCTCGATCGTCGATTCTTTCCAAAAAGACCTAAAAAAAAAAAATCACTGTTTCCCAGGACTAAAATGAAGATTAGGAAAGCCTGGATGTGTTGCTGGCACTCACCAAGCCCAGCAGAGCTGTACGTGGTAATGCAGTACTTCTCCTGGTCTTCACACTTGTAGGTTTTAAGGCAGTTCCAGTTGGAATGTTCGTTGTCACATGTGTAGCAAAACAGGGAGGAAGCTGGAAAAAAAACACACATGGCACAGATTAGGTTTCCAGCCATGCCCTCTTGGGAAAAAAAGGTGTCAAAGGCATATGTTTCCTTGGAAAACTCAAGGTGAAAAGTATGTTGTGAATAAGTGAAAGAAGGGGTTGGTTTTGATTAATGAAGCTGAGGGGGGAAATACAGAGAAGAAAACGAGTTTTCCTCAACAACTTGAGATTTGGGGGGTGATTAAATTTGAAACAACAATTTCCAGCCAGAGCAGCATTCCCAGGTGACCTTTCCTTCTCCCCCGGAGTCCACATTGACCTGGTCGGAAGCCAAGCTCCAAAAGCAAAGCTCACGACCCGCAAGGAGGAGAAGAACTGGCAAGGAGAGGAGGAACCCAGTTCTCAGGTTAGAGATCAATACCAGGGATTTTCAGGCAACATCTGCAAAAAACACTGCCCAGACATGAATTAATGAATGCCTGTGGCACCCCTGGGAGCAAAATGACTTAACACAGCCCCACAATAAAGGGAGTTCCCTGGGAGAGGTCGCTCAGGACAATGGAGAGATTATTCCTATCAGCGCCTGGAACGACGTGTTCCCAGGGATATCATTAACTCAGAGCTGAGCCAGGGCTATTTCTAAACCAGGAAGAAGTGGGATACGGATTGTTGGGCACAACCCAAGTCAATTGAGTTAAGATTCCAGGTGGGATTTTAGGTGAGGAACGTGGGCAGGTGCCAGCCCGTTCCCAGGAGGTGGATTCGTTGGGGGAAATCATTTCCCTCCTGCTCGGATTTCCATGGAATGCTCCTCCTTTTGGGGCAAGGGTGACAAGAAGGAGTTGAGCTGCTCTGGGGAAATCCTGCTCCATCCTTCCCAGCTCTTGGTTGCAGGTGACCCAATTATAAAGCTGGAAGGGTCCTGAACTTTCCCTGGTTTGGTTCCTCCTGCCTTTCGCAGCCCAGTTCTGCAGAGAAGCCCCTCTCAATTAAGTCTGGACTTGTTTTTAGCCAGGAAACCCCTGCCAGGGACTCTCCAAAGCCCAGCTGCTGTTGGTTCAAACTCATCCCTGAAGTTCAATCTGCCCATGAACTTGGTTAGACAACTCCAGAAGCGGTTTTGAAAGAGAATTAAAAGCCAGTTTAGTCCCTGACTAAAGCAGGGGGAGAAAAGGCCTCCCCTCTGTGATCTGGGTGCCTTGGGTACAGCTCTGGGTGTCTCAGCCCAGGACTGACCCAGAGGCTTCAAGGCCAGGTTGGACTTTGAGCAGCCTGGTCTAGTGGAAGGTGTTCCTGCCCATGGCAGGGGGTTGGAGCTGGATGATTTTTAAGGTCCTTTCCATCCCAAACCATTCTATGATTTGATGATTCCGTGCTCTTTTCCAGTCCAGGTGTTGCAAGTGCAGTTGTTCTCTGGAGTAGGAGATAAAACCAGCCTTGGTTTTGAACTGAATTGAATCCTGGCTTTAACTCCTCTTTAATTCACTGTTTAGTTCTCCCTGTTTCTCCGTCATGGATATTTTCAGCCTCTTTTCTCTCCTCTGGAGGTTCCCCAACATGAGCTGTGGGCTCCTGTCCTTTGGCAGGCAAAGCAAACCCCAGACCTGCTACTTAGCAAGAATTGGTTGCATTTTACAGCCCCTGGAGCTGACTCTGAGTTCCTTTTGTTGCCAAAGTTGTTCCAACCACTTCATGCTGCAGCATGTGCCTGAAAGCAACTGGAGTGCACTTGTGCTCACTAAGTGAGGCAAGGAAAGTCCCTTCCAGCCAGGAAACAAGAACAGCTTAAGCCATTAGAGCTGCTATAAAGCCTTTCCTGCCTCTGGGCTCCACCCTCCAGGAGCTGGAATTTTAGGAAGCAGCCAGAAATAACCTTAATGGTGCAAAAGGACAAGAGAGCTGTGGATCCCATTACAAACACACTCCCACCTAGAGGAGCTCCTCAAACTCAGGAGTAAAGAGCTCTCGGGCTTTCAAAAATCTCGTTTCTTGTCACTGTGGGGAGGAGAGGGAAGTTCTGGCAGGAGATGGGGTGTCAAAACCAGCCGCACAACCTCCCGTCAACAGCAGCTCCCCCAGTTTCATCCAGGAACAAAAATAAAACCAAAGGCAGGACTCTGAGCTCAGCTTAATTGCTGTGAGCAGTTTTGAGTTTGTGTTTGTCTTCAGAAGGGAGGGTGTGAGAAACCAGAGGGGGGAGCGCAGCTTCGAGGTACCTGGGCAGAACTCACCCAAAAACTAAGATTAAACCACAGAAAATATCTCCAGGTGCCTCTGCAGAACTTACCCAGAAAAAAGACTAAATCACACAAAATATTTGCAGGTACCTCTGTAAAAC